TGAGGTCTGGTGAGGTCTACTGAGGTTTACTGAGGTCTGGTGAAGTCTACCGAGGTCTACTGAGGTCTGCAGAGGTCTGCAGAGGTCTGCAGAGGTCTGCAGAGGTCTGCAGAGGTCTGCAGAGGTCTGCTGAGGTCTACTGAGGTCTACCAAAACCTTGGTTCGCAATCTTGTAGCAGTGTCATTAGGGTGATGTTACACGAGACGATTTTTATTGCCCTATTATTACGTTTAAAATTGGCTTCGAGCAATATGGCATCTTATAAAATAACTGTTATGAATATCGCGTTCTGATTGGTTTGGAGCGCGTGCTTTATGAGAGCACATTGCACGCGCGCGCACTTACCGTTGCGTCATTCCTATCTATTATTGTAATTTGTATTTTATAAAAGAAATAAAAAACTTGCTTGCTGTGCTGTGTGCAGTCATAAAGCACTTGGGGGTTGGCAGAACACTCGAGAAGTATCGAGAAGCACTCCGCTACGCGTCGTGCTTCTCCTAACACTTCTCTCGTGTTCTGCCAACCCCCGCGTGCTTTATGACAGCACACAGCACGCGCGCGCGTTTTCTATTTCTTCAACAAATCGATGTCAACAATGTCTTGAGTTTTGAAGGTGGTTCAAAACCTGGAACATGTTGCCCCGCCAAAATATTTTTAAAAATTACAACCACGCTTTGTTAAACGAGAATAATTTTTCGAGCAACATTCTTGCGCGAAAAATCGTCCTCTACCAACGTTATCAGAACCAGAATCAAGCTGTACTTTTTGCACTGATACTTATACTTTTTGTACATGTATACTTATACTTACTGGGCAACCAGCATAAGATAAAGACCACTTGATAGAGACACGCCCATCTTCTGACTAGTGTCTCTTGTTTGTACTGATGGTTTGTCATCATACCTAGGGTGGGGTGGGGTGCAAGGGGTGCAAAAGAGACCAGTCAGTCGAACGTAGAGTAATCTAAATATTTATTGGTTCCTTACGAGCCATAAAAGTCATTTCAATTTGGCTCATCTGATTCAACTTTGAGGGGCACTTTGCACAAATATAATAGCTTGTCATATTTCACCTAAACACGAAAACTATTGTATTTAAATGCAAGTACCCCTCAAAGTTGAATCAAATATGGGTCAAAAGAAAGCTGTGTATAAAAAACAACTACTTTGATTTGAATGAAATAGCCTAAAGTTAATTTAAATTTTAAGTTCAATTTTCACCTACCTCCTGACTTTTGAACCCGTCTGAACACATTTCGAACAAGTATGTATATTATCTGTTAAGACAGAGAGGGGAAAAAAGAAAATGCAAATATTGCTACTTTGTTATACTAATTTTTGAAATTTTTTTGAGGTCAGTCCAAGTTCCTTTATCTTTAGTAGAACTATACAGTGGTACCTCTATTGAGCAGACACCACTTATTACACCTTTTGCCGTTCATTAACAGAAAATGTACATTCATTTGTGCCAATAGTTGTATCAATAACGTGTAATGTACTTTCATCAACACCACAAGTAACATCATTAGCGCGGATCAACTTTCAATAAGGACAATTGAAAATGTGTGAACATTCATAGGCATCAATGGACAATCAATAACGCGTTCGTACATTCATATGCGCGGAATGTATTTTCTTGTGCGCGAAATTCAACTTCAATAACACCAAATGACAGACAATTGCATTTATAGACAATCATTTACCCAAAAGTGAAAATTCATTAGTGCTATTAGCATAATCATTGACAATCTATAACGCGCTTGGACAATCGTGAGGGTCAACGTTATATTCTATAGCGTGGTTCGACAAACATTTGCATGATTCGAATGAACAATAAGAGAAATAAAACAATCATTAGCGATTTAAAAAAAAACTATTTTAGCCTTCAATTTCTTCGCCATTTATACATCGTGGCAAATACGTTTGCATATATCTGAACCACTGATCACACTTAGCGATAGTGATGGTTGCCACATTTCTCTGGAACCCTTCCATTAGCAACTGCTTTCTGTAGAGACCTAAAGCAATCCCTTGTCGTCTTGCCTCAGCCCGATCGTTCGTATGTTGTTGGATCTCTGGACGGCTGATGTCGGCTTTGATTGCTGCTTTAAGTGAGCTAATTGCTATTCTCCTACGCAGCCGCTATTATGGAGGCAGTTTCCTGAGTTTTTTATATGTTTTAAAGTGATAAAAAAATCGCTAATGATTGTTTTATTTCTCTTATTGTTTATTCGAATCATGCAAATGTTTGTCGAACCACGCTATAGAATATAACGTTGACCCTCATGATTATCCAAACGCGTTATAGATTGTCAATGATTATGCTAATAGCGCTAATGAATTTTCACTTTTGGGTAAATGATTGTCCATAAATGCAATTGTTTGTCATTTGGTGTCAGTTGAAGTTGAATTTCGCGCACAAGAAAATACATTCCGCGCATATGAATGTACGAACGCGCTATTGATTGTCCATTGATGCCTATGAATGTACACGTATATTCAATTGTCGTTATTGAAAGTTGATCCGCGCTAATGATGTTACTTGTGGTGTTGATGAAAGTACATTATAATTACACGTCATTGATACAACTATTGGCACAAATGAATGTACATTTTCTGTTAATGAACGGCAAAAGGTGTACACTCTGGAAACTGTTTTAAGAGTACAAAGATTAGAGAGAAGTCGAAATAGATCCTAAGAATCGAACCATAGATGCACCTCTAGCTCCAAAGGCCAGGCACTAAACAACTGATGAGCTATGCCTACTCTACCACTGACTGTTACATTAAGCCCTGTCCATCTGCTCACCCTCCAAACACATTTAAATGCTTTTTGCAAGAAGAAAAAGCAAACAGCCATTGATACTTACCACAACTGCTAACAATGAGAGGCCCAAAATAGCTAAAAACATATACTTAAAAACAGAATTCCAGTCGGGTTCATCTGCATCAGTTACCTGAAATGAAATCAAACAAATTAGCAGGGGTAGCAGAAGCTGAAAATCTTTGGGGGGGGGGGCACTGAAATATTATATCTAATGCTATGTGATAATGACCACTGACTGTTTTGTTTGATTGCAGATGAATGCGTCATAAAACTATCGAATTTATGCATTTATTTTTCATTTGAACCAATATTTTGTGGGGGGGGGGGGACCCAGTTCCACCGCCCCTGATTAGTTAGCACTTAAGTTTTCATATTCTACCTTGCCCCACTCCCACTTGGATGGGATGTTTTCAAGGAAAATGTAGTAACTCTTACTTACAGAGCAATTAGATGTTCGATAATGAAAAACTGGAAGGCATCTACACATAAAAATGAGAAGAAAAAAAACATGTATTTACTGTCATTAGTTGCATGTTTACTGACATCAGGTATTATATCAAACCCTAAAACAATTTTTTAAGCTTATAATGCAAACTTGTCAGGGCATGGCTAAACCCACATATCAAATTGCAATTTAGCATGGGAGGAAAGTTGGACTGAGACTAACAAACTCTACTCACATGTGAAACCAAGTCAAGCAAACCAAGTCAAGAGAACCTCTGACCTCAGAGATGAAAGGCATGCATTTGCATTACTGCTCAGTCACCCTTTATTTATACTGTGTGTGTTCATGTTTAAGGAGAGATTTTGATCAAAATTTGTTTTATTTATTTCGTGATTTGTTTTATTTTGCTTTTGCAGGACCTCTCTGAAAAACACCTTGGTGTCATGATAGCTTCCGGTTAAAAACATTGTTGCTGTTGTTGTTGTTGTGGTTGTTATTATTATTGTTATTAAATCATGAGGGGTAAAAAATGGTCCAACCGAGACTTTATGAGACCGCTAGATGCTTAATTTAAAATTAGAGGCAGAGATTTTTATGAGCGGAATCTTTCAAGAAGTGAGTATACAAATAAAACTGGGTTTCAACTGAGAAATGTAGGACTCTTATGCAACAGATTCCAAGTGGAAAACTCTCCTCTCTAATTGAGAATTCAAGAGAGGCTGGGCAACGAAAATAATCGAGACTTGCAAGACAATGTCATTTCTACATGATTTGCAATCTAAGACAACCATGACTTACGTGCCACATATAGCATCGTTAAGAGAACCCTTTCCTTGTTCCCCACTGTCAATAGCAAACAAACACAGAGTCACAGCCAAGGGGAATAGCCTGTGACAGGGAAAAAAAGATTAATGAATAAAATATTTAATAAAGATTTTTAAAAAAATCATCAACTGCTATAATGGCAACTTTAAATTTGCACTAGAAGAGGTACCTCAGTCTACATACCAGGATAATGAATATAGATAATAGATCCTTGGGAATTTAACAGCTTCCTATAAAAAATATTAAGTAAATTATTGACTTCTTTATTCTCACTGTACATTAGAGCATGCGCTTTAAAGCATGTTTTAAAGCATGTAAATAAAATAAAAAGTCAGTGCTAAAATCAGTAGATATTTTTGACGAGTGGAAGGCAAAACACTGAGACACACACACTAATTAGGCCACTAAGGTTTATACTAATAAAAATCTAATGTGTTTACCACTCCTGGTGGACAGCTTATGCCTGGGGGGTACTCTTGCCCATTTAGGGTATGGATGTGCCGCTGAGCCCTCTGAACCCTTACCCTGTTCCAGAGTAAAAATCGCTGAAATTCATACCCTGTTCCAGAGCAAGATCGCTGAAAACTCTGTTCCAGAGAGGAGAGAGCGTGATTTCATATACCCTGTTCCAGAGTGAGCGCGATTTTATATACCCTGTTCCAGAGTAGAATCGCTGAAAACCTATACCCTGTTTGGCGGCACGTACCCGTATAGCGAATATAGGGGAGTCCCCCCCCCTGGAGCTTATGCCTAACAGGTTTTGCAACTCAATTGATAAGGCAGCTGATAGATCGAATTATAATTTAGAAGTTTATTAAACTGTCAATATTTCTAAAACTACCTCAGCATATCTGGACATTGTTCTTGAGATAAGCTCGTCATACATTTTTAAATACACTTCATATCCATAAACCACAGTGAACAGGAATGTACTCATGTAGAAGCTCTAGATAGGAATAAACACAACAGTCATGCATAACATTACATTGACAATATAGAACTAAACTGCCTATAGGTCATGATTTCTGAGTACAATGAACATGATGCATTGTGGTCAAGCTTGGGTACAAACCACACCATAAATTATCCAAGTCAGGGCACATTAACTAACTCAGAGATTGAACCCTGAAACAAACTCTGGGCTGATCAAAGTCAGGGCACGGCATACTCACAGATCGACAGATCAAACCCTGAACCAATCTTTGGGCTGATCAAAGACAGGGCACTAACTATTAGTAAGCAACTAACATTCTCGTACCCAGAGCCTCCTCATAGCGAAATTCGGAGGCTCTGGGAAACCCTAAAACTCTATGGAATTTCATTAGCTGTAAGTTGAAAATAACATAGCAATGAACTCTGATTGGTCATCAGGATAAACAAACATACCAACCGATACCAGACAAAACAAATTGACAAGAATGGTTATGTATATTTGAATCATGAATCAAATCAAATCGAATCTTATTTCCAGTTTCAAACATATAAACTTTTGCAAATAGAAGATGTAAACAAGCTGTCAGAAGGCAGTCATTTTAAAGTCAGTGATCCTGAGATAGAGCATGGTTCTGACCACCTGGTTGAAAGATTCTGGCTTCCAGTCTGTCGGGTTTCCTAGGGCCTACTATTTGGCTAATGAGTAGGGTCTCGGAACGAGAATGAGCAACTCACAGAATAAACTCTCAAACAACCTCTGGGCTGATCAAAGTCGGGGCACATGTAACTCACAGATCAAACTCTGAAACCATTTAGGGCAGGTCTAATTCACAGATCAAATTCTGAAACAATTTAGGGCATGGCTATTAAACTCACAGATCAAATTGGAATTTAGTGTGAGACCCTACTCCACCCTTGATTCTCCTTTACTTACACTTGAAAGGGCAGTGAGGTAGGAACAGATCTTGTTTTGCATAGTACTATGTCCATTCTTCAAGTATAATATAGAACCAATCAGTAAACCAACAGATGCTATCAGGTCTGCCAGTGAAAGATGAAAAATTGGACGAATCTTGAAGAAAAGAAAAAGGATTATTACTAGTATATATGTCATTGGCTAGGGTCAAAGTGGCATTAATTTAATGCTGTTTGAAACTAAGCACAGCCCACAAGCATTTGTTCAAACTAAGAATTTAAGGAAAAAATGCAAAAATGAGAAAATAGCAGGTGCTATCAGGTCTGTCAATGAAAGATGGCACATTGAACAGTTCTTGAAGGAAAGAAGAAAAGGAAATTACTGTGTGATTAATAAGGGTTGAAGTAGGAACAGTCTCATTCTCATTGCAATGGAAAATTTTAGCTCACTTTGAGCCATAATTACCTCAGCATTAGTAACTTTTTTCTTTAGTATAGCAGCAATGACTATAGATGCAGACCCAAAGAAGCTGGAATAAAAATATCATACAATCAGACATTTTATCCATTTTATACCCTTATGATGCATGGCATGGATGGCGTAGTGGTTTACTAATTGCCTCTCACTGCTGTGGTCCAGGATGTTCAAGCCTGTTTGTTCAATGTATTAATGTTTTCTCATGTTTTTTTTATAGATTTTAGTGTCTGTTCATTGATCTAGAAGATATGGGTAGCATGAGTGGCATTCGCAGCTAACGCGTTGTCTTTCACCGCTATGAGTCCATCGGGTCAGGTCGCTGGTTCAAGCCCTGTGGTTGCCACATGTGAATTGAGTTTGTTTTATGTGTTGTTCTGTCCTATGCTACGAGGGTTTTCTCCGGGTTCTCCGGTTTCCTCCCTCCGTAAAAATCAACATGTGAGTGGAGCATTGTTTGCATAGAATATTAATTGTAGTGGTAGTGCATGTTAGCGAAAAGTATCCCCAATTGCCCTATTTCATAATGATGTCACGGGTTGTTTACATCGGCTAAAATGATAAAAAATTTAGGCTAAATTTAAACTTAATACTTCTTCTAAAGTTCAAGATATTCAGTTGTTCTTGCCCTCCCCAGCTCATAAACCAAATTTCATTGTGATTTAAGATGTGTTGTTGTCATTCCATCCCGCTCCAGCGACCATGATCCCTAGCACTAAAACAATAGTTTGTTTTGATGTGACGTCATTATGAAATAGGGCAATTAGTGCAAAAAGTGCTAGAACGACTAGTCACTTAAATAAAAGTAAAGTTTGATGTTTGTCAGCCATTTTGTTTTTAAAGATTGCGCTGCTTGGGCTACCTGAGTCAGTGCACAGCTCAACATGTGCAGTAATTCTTGAATGAATAAAATTCTTGAATGGTTATAATTCTTGAACATAAAAAATTCTTGAGCAGAATTTTTTTCCTTGAATGGAAAAAGTTTTCTGAGCAGATAAAATTCTTGAATGAATATATATCTTGTTAATCTAAAATATAAATCATTGTGGATTGTGGAGGGTTTTAATCAGAACACACTTAGTCACCTTGAATGTGAAAGAAAAAAGGTGATGAATTTTTTTAAATATTGACTTCTTTAAATTTGCACCAAAGCAAGTACCATAACTATATATGGCCTCACTGCTTTGAATTCTTTGAATCAGCTTGCATGTGAGTAAAGATTTTAGGCCTACTCCTTCTTTTCTCCAGGTTCTCTGGCTAAATTTAAAACTCTTTTATAGAGTTAGCAGGATCCTGACTTCAGGTATCGACAAAATTTTGAAAATTTTCAAAAAACCAGTAGAAATACATTTGTGCATATGCAGCAGCTAAAGACTATGACTTGAGAAGTTTGTATTGTAAGGTGGGTTGGGGAGGGGCATGCCAGGGGTAAATGAAATCATGGATCTATGACCTTTGACCTTAGGGAATTAAGGGAGAAAAATATGACAGTTGGCGAGTGAATTTCTTTGCGCAATTTACAATTAATTAATAATATATACAACAAAGTTACCTCAAAGAAGATGTCACAATGTAGATAATAGAAAGAGCTTCCATCTGAAAAGTTAATGATATTAAGGCTGTTAGTGAAAATGAAAAAATGTAAAAGGAAGACTTCGAAGTTATCCAGGAAATATGTTTGAAGGGGCTGAGCTTCATATTTGAACCAACCAAGTATCAAATCCACAGTCTTTTTTAACTCAATAAACTGTTCAAATCAARTTGCTAACTCCTTTTATTCATACTTACCTAAGCTAAGCTTATATGATCATAAGCTGATAAATTCTTGCAAATGTGAATTTATTCATACCCCTTAGGTACTTCTCGAAATATTACTTCAGTAAGAAAGATAAATAAACACATTCTTCAACACTATAAAAACCTCTAATCTTTGATATTTTAAGCTTAAATACAGAATCAAGTGTTAAATAGTTAGTTTATTTTCCAATCAAAAAGCAATTCGAGTTTAGACGTGACAATATACGGAAGACGTTATTAAGGTAGTCTTGTCTTCCAAACGCAAGAACAGCTGTTCAAAGCTTTCATTTATAGTAAAAAATAACTCATTTTTATCGTAGAATCATGAAAAATATCTGAAGAGTAGATAAATAGCAATTTTAAAACGCCATACCTCATTTCTTGTCAGATATGTAGAATTTGAAGAGTTCCTCTCAAACATTATTGTTGTGATCTTAGTCTAAACTGGGCGAAACCAAAAACTACGCAGATCGATTGAAATCGAAAACCTCAAGTGCTGCCATGGATTTTACGATCAAGACTTCATTAACCACAACGTAATATTATGTATTGTTTTCTATCGGATATTCTTAAACTTTCCGTGCAGAAAATAAATTCCAGAGAAACAAACAAAAAGTGAAATCACATGAACGATGAGAGGAGACTGGGTCGAGATGTCAAAATGTGGTCAGCGGGTTTTTAGTAACTATAGCAACAATAAAGATATAAGGTTTGTAGGTTTGTGTTGGTTTTTAAAATTTAGGACACTCGAGATGTCATTAAATCAATTATAGAAAAACAACTCAGAGAAAAATAAAGTCAGAGCAATAAATAACCCTTATGAATCATTTATAAACTTAACGATGTATAAAATCAAAATTTACTAGTATTTATCCATACTGACACAACGTAGTTTTTCCTGAAAGGTGCAGTGCTGAATTTTGTTAATAAACAATATTATTAGTATTTTCTATTAATCATGATAATAATAATAACAATAATATAATCACAAAACGATAAGAGACTGGGTTCGATTATTAAAAAGTATTGGTCAGCGGCTTTTAAAAAAGCGCGTGCGTTGGGAGTCTATTTTTAGTAACCATAGCAACAAGAGGGCAATAAGAACAAGAAGAGTTTCGACAAGAAGAGTTTGTTGTTGCGAAGGAGTTTATTTCCATCGTCAAAATAGCCTATAAATATTGTTAAAATGTCGAACGGAGCTGCAAATACTGCTGCTGAAACACAGGTAATTTTAATTTTCATCTTAAATTTAGAATCATCTGTGTTATATTTAAGATATTCGCCTTCAATTTTCGTCTCAAACTCAAAAGGCTGTGTTCGACTGCGCTTTGTTTCCAAGATCAAAATTAAATTTTTTTCGCCACAAGAACAGCTTAGTCCTAAACATAAAGTTATGACAATACGTAAAATACTTTCATTCTTTAATTTAATATTGAAATAAAGGTATATATATTTTATTCTAAAGGTGGCCATGACTCAAAACACTTCGTCCGACCTCGAGAAAACCAAACCAGGAAAAGGTGCGAAAACCAATGAATATTACCGAGTTACAGATATTCCAGAACGCTTCAACAACCCTGGTAATTAAAGCTTTTTTCTTGATATCTTATAGAAGCACCCGTAGGCATAAATAATCTTGGGAATCCAGTATTTTCTTGTCCTGCGACGACTAATGCTACTATGAAAATCGAAGCACCATCAGTAGAAGAAGGTTGGTTAGCTTTGACACTTTATGACCTTGGGTTTTTTATCTTCGGGTTTAATGTAACGCAAACTTATGAATCAGTTCTGTGACCTCTTGAGAAGAGGGGGAGGGTTAGGGAAGAGACAGTGGACGTCCTTCTAAGTAACCATTCTCCTACCCATATACCTACTCACACTGGCTAACTTTTGAACCTTTTATCTTAGATTGTTTTCAAGGGTATGGATCAAAACCTACTAACCCCATGTATTTAACAAGTTCAATGGATTATGGGTGAGTATGAGTTCAAGATAGAGGAGATCTCATATTACTGTGCAACAAAACATGGTATTCTGTGATTGCGCTTTAGATCATAGCTGCTATGTTAATTGACTACTCAAAACATTCCTCATTAAGCTTCTCTTGTTGGATCAACCAACATGGTGGCCATTAGCACATCATAATTCCCCACTCTACACCCTTTCCAAGGGATTAGTATTTAATAAATAGCTATTTTTCCATTAGCACATCATTACTTGGGAATAACTCCTCTGAACAACTTCTTTGCAGGAATCGCTCTCCAACAGTTCACACCATGCCAACGAGTTTCCATGCCAAATGCCAAAAGTTCTCAGCACATTTAGGACAGTGTGGAATGTACAGGAATTATTCTCTCAATACATCACTTGACAAAAGCATTGTATAATTACCATTAGATAAATATAAAATGATAAATTTTGTTTTAATGAAAAATACTGTACAAGTAAAATTTAATCCTGACAAAAAAGCGGTGGTTTGCTGATTTGCAGAAGCTACTTGTTATCAGTTGAGTCATTACTTCATAGGTTCTTATTTATTTTCTACCCGACATTCAGTTATTGGTGCAGGTTGCTACGACAACTACCCTTAATTTGGTCATTAACTTCTCCTGCTGTAAATATTTTTATGGTAATTATTAAAGATGTGTTAAATGTCTCATTTATAAATGTTGTTTCTAAAAGAAATCCATTAAATTGATGAACAAATTTTAACTGACTATGTATCATAAATAGCTCAAAATACTTAGATTTTCCTCAAATTCTTATGTTTAATACATCGGTACTTTGCTCATAGAAAGACCATTTGCATCAGAAAGGCACGATGAGCAATTTTTTCTGCAACTTGTCTCGCAACAGTGTTGGGACACAAGTTGCATTGCAGTGTGTAGGCACAATTAGAAAAAATGTTTGGGTCTCCGTTGCACTGTGAAAACACAAGTACAACTTGTGTCCCAACTCTGTTGCAAAACAAGTTGCTGAGAAAATTGCTCCCCCCTCCCCATGGACCCTTCAATAGACACTGCCAAAATGACTGCTGAGCAGTTATATTGGCTAAGAAAACAGAGGTTTGTACGAATATTGACAGGGATGGGGGTATGCAAGATGTCCCCATTCGCTCAGTTTAATTTTAACTCATCATTGTCAGTCATCGCTTAATTACCACCACAAAGTACAGCAGTGCCGCAGCTCAACGGGGTTGAACTGAAGGCATGTGAAGTTGCCTGTCAGCTGCTATACAGTCCATGTATGAACCCAGAGTACACTTCTAACCAGTTGTTGAATAAGTTAAGATTGATTTGAGAGGAATGAAAAACCAAAGGCCAGGAAAACCCTCGGAGTCAGAAAGGGAACCAATCAAATCAGCTCATATGGGGCAACTGCTAAATCATGTCAAATTGCATTGATTGCCATTTTGGCAAATGGCCTACAGTTATGAGAACCGTATAAGGAACCAACATCATCTTTTACATTTTGTCAATCCTTTCAAGCCAATAAATTTTGCTAAAAAAGAGTAATCATAATACCAATTTATTTTTACAAGAAAAGTAATTCTTATTACACAAAAATTATATTTCCCTAGAGTAACTATTATCATATTTACCAGATGCTATCAAAAAAGAAAATGCAATAGAGGCATAGCCATCAAAAATATAGCATTTTTAATGATTTCCTTTTCACAAGCTCAAAGAAAAACAAGATTGATTCATACAATTGAAGTATGATGAAAAGGTGCTTATGGATAATATAGAAACTTCATTACTTCTTATTGGATTAGTGGGATTTTATCAACAACTATTTAGAATTATCACTAAAAATGGCCAATCATATTTTAATATTTTTTGACTCTCCTCTCCCTTATGCACTGAGGATTTTTTGAAATGTCAGGGGGGAGGGGGAGGATAAGAGGGTGGTGAAGTGAAAATCGCGATATGTTGATTCTACGAGATACTTGAAAATCTGGGCATATTAGAGATCAAGAGAGCAATCTTGCAGGGTGGTCAGGGGTATTTTAGACATTAGGATGGAATCAAGTTCAAATCTTTAGAGGTTAGAATAAACTTAGAAGCCACTACTGATATCATGTGCTTGGAGGGGGGGGGGGGGGGGGTAAGGATAGAAAATAATACCAAGAATTACAAAACCTGCAAAGAGTTCCATATATGTAATTTAGCTAGCTAGTGCCTCCCCCTCAAAAAAAAATTGAACTGTCTATTTTTATGTTAACTTATGAATTGGCTACAAATAAATTGTTGCATTATTTCCCACTCAGTATTGAGAATACAAAATTAGGTCAAGTAGGCATTAAATCTCGAACATCAATATTGTAATTCCTCTGCAATCATAAAAAGCCATGCATATCTAAGACAATTGTCAAGAGATTTTTTTTGCACTTTGCAAATTAGCAAATGTGAAGGAAGATACGTTTATTTCAATAAAGTTAATCACCTGAAAAGCTATAGAGCTGAGACCGACAAGGATTATGGATGGATACATTTTATGTTTCAACTTAGTGGTTGATAACTGTTGATGGACTTGAGATCTTCTATCTTCTACCAGTTACAAGTTAACCTCCACTGAGTATCCTCAACTGCTGCAGTTTGTGTCAAAACCTTTACTCGTTGGATATAAAACATTTCCCCATGATTCTCAGCAATCACAGCTTTCTAGGTTTTTGGTGACTAACTATTGAAATAAGTATATGTCAAAACAAGACTGGCAGCAAATAAATATCCTTGCTGTGTACTTAGTAATACCATTAATAATGGTAATTGAACTGAGTGGAGTGCAATTTGGTCTGAAATCAAAAGCTCGATTACAAAATCACACGACCGCGTAGCGGGAGTGTGATTTGTAATTGCAAGTTTGATTTCAGACCAAAATTGCACGACACGAAGTTCAATTTCCACTTAATCATATCCTTTTTGTAATCATACATAAGAAAAAGGCACAATAAAGAGTGCAGAATAATCAGTTTAATGTAGTAGAAGAACTAACTGCAAACAAAAAAAACATCTAAAAAAATTTTTTTTTCGTTTTTTTTTTGTTTTACTTTATTGTTTAAAAAAAATTTTTTTAGAATGCAATTAAGAGCTTCTAAGGATGCGATTTGGGAATTAATCACACTCCTTTGAACCAATCAGATTGCAGGATTTGGTAGTGATTACAAAAAGGATGTGATTAAGAGATGTACAATGTAATGCAATCTTAAAGTAATATTTAAACCATATAACATGCATGGCTTTCTGGTTTGCATTGGTTAATGAACCTCCATCAATAATTCTTATAACTCTAACTATTCAAAAAGCATCCCAATTACTCCTTGTAGTTCACAGAAAACAACAATGAATTTTTCTCCACTCTAAAATAATTATCATAAATGAATTATAATAATTATCAAGTTCATAAATTTTTTTTCCATGGTGAGATAATTATCATAATTAAATTATAATGATTATTGTGTTTGATCAACTATGTAGGATAGTATCAATCATAATTCTATCTCCATACCAAAATAATTATTATAAATAAATTATAATAATTATATGGTTTGAGGAATCATTTAGGTTAGGTATCAATCATGATTTTTTCTTCTACAACAAAATAATTATTACAAATAAATCAAAATAATTATTAGTTTTGTTCAATTAATCAGGTCTTGGATGTAAGATAATTCAAACAAATATAAATCAATTAAATACCTACCTTTTTTCTACTAGCGCTATTAATAAAGTATGATTCTATTATTTTTAGTCGTTCAAGTATATGCGAAGAAACAATAAATGTTTACGATTAACTAAAACATGTTTTCTCTCCCTCTCTAACTCTTTGATTTACAAGTAGAACTCTGGCTAGCAGTGTATAAAAAAACTTATGGAAATGGCATAAAACATGGATAGTCTATGAACTCTTGAGCTCTTGACCAATCTTATAATTGAGGATCTTGTTCCAGTCTATCTTGGTGCGAGTGATAGGTAATTGTCTTCTCAAGGCTTTGAAAGTCGTGTCAGACATTGTGCTGTAGTTTTCAGAAATTGCTTTCTGTAGAGAGAAAAATGAAAGACAAATTAGTCATAAATATTTAAATGTGGCTAAATGAAATTTAGGCAAGGTTCAAATCGAGACAATACATGCTGCTCAGCGGGCTTAGGGGCTTACATGCTGTGTTTGCAGTGCTAATTGATTTGCACCAAGAGTTTTTCTCCCACCCTCCCTCCCCTGCTAATAGGTTCTCTACAGGTGAGTATATACTTCACTGAATCTCAGTGTGACAGGTACCGGTGGTGAGCTGTGGCCCGGTTGCCATGGTTATCTTCCAGCGGGGAGGTGATCTGTCGCAACCCGAGCTCACCCTTGTACCTAACCCAAACTTGAGATATTTGAGGCACTGACGTTTGCAAGTTAATGTAACATTTGTTTCTTAGCATGAACCCTGAACCATGGCATTTATAACCCACCTGGTAATCACTTTCGGCTTTTTCCACAATCTCCACGAAAAGGTTAGCCGTTGCTGTTTCTCTCTGTAGAATAACCAAATAAAAAGCCTTCATAAATATACTCCTGCCAGATGTGTTAATAGGATAGAAAAAAATGTGGTATTCCACTTACCGTGATTTTTATCTCTTCCTCTAATTCTTTAGAGGAAACTAACTGTACATTGCCATCTTCATAGTAGTGGACCTGGAAGAAGTAAAAATAGATTGTAAAATAAAGATAAGGTTTCTAAAGATAAGCATTGGCCATGAGTATTGGGACTAGGACTTTTTTTACAGCGAGTCTCCATTAACCAAAGCTACCCGAAGAAAATTTTGAATCAAAAATATTCACAAATCACATTTTCATATATATAGGATGGTGACCAATTCTGGAGTTTAATCCATTTCTTGTTCACTTCTGATCCTACACACACACATATATGCTTTTTAAAGACAAAAAAAAGGGGAACATTTGTGCAGATTCTCTAGATTGTTTAAATACTCTATCCTGCTTGGCTAATTTGTATGAAAATTTGACTGGATTGCCTTGTTTGGTATAGTCACACTGATAACTATTTAAAAATGTTGCGATATCATACAAACAGTTACAGACCGAGTCCAAATTCTTCAACATAATTGAAAACAGTTTCTGGTAATGGGATCCCCATTTTTACAATAGACAACAAAAGTAACAAAAAATATTCTTTTTTACATACCTGAAGCTTCAAGATGCCTTTCAACTCTACAGTTTCTCCTCCATTCTTATTGAATGTCATAGACCACTCTGAACGCCACCTTCCATTCCTATAAACAAGATTTAAAAGTTCAAGATTGTTAAAAATCTCCCTTTGCTTGAGCATTCCAATTTAGACATTTTCGTCATGATATACTGCAAATATCAATTTCATAAAAGAGTACCAGGGTGTTCTTTGATAACAACTTATCCTGGCAACCCTACCCTGGTCAAATATGTACAGTGTAACATTTTTTTTTTTTAATCATTATTAGAAGATCAGGAGCGGCCCTATGATGGGAAGCTCTTCATATCTAGTGAGTTTTCACTTGTTAGTTATGTGATTATGATTATGATTTTCATATAGCGCAGTTTTCCATATGGATATGTTCAAAGGCACTTACAATAAGTAATGAACAAGAGGCTGTTAGTATCTATGGGGTGTAGGCACTGAGGGTGGTCACTGCCAGAGTTTCTTTACGTCCTCAGTGGTTCTTTTATGTCCCTCCAATATTGGTTACTGTAGCAATAATGAAGTGTGGAGAGACAGGACCATCATCATTTAAAGTGGTCAACCCAGCCACTTGAAGGTCTAACCGTTTGCATATGTAATTACAAAGGCAGCACCTTCTCCTCAGTTATTTTAAGACCCTGAGTGTTGGTCTGGCCAAAGGCTTGAATCACAACTTCCCACACAACAGACTGATGCTCTTATCAACTGAGCTAACCAGGAGACAGTCATGTGGCCTGTTAGTGCAAATGGCTTATTGCATAATTTTATTCACTAGACAATGATTCAATGTCCTACCAGAAATTATGTGGTTGAAAGAGATGGTCTTCTATACAAGCAACAATGGTGATTGATCCACCAGAACTCTTGCCATACACCTAATAATGAGAAAGAATCATAACAGATTACAAATTATACAGATAAGTTAATTACTGAAACAACTAACATTAAGTTTCAGAGATAACGCTAGACTTGGGAAACAGAAGGAAAGATTCATCTCTTTTTCCACCAAGAGAGTCCCCCTTTCACAATAGGTTCTGCAGACTGTATAAAGTAATAAGAAGACCTATTTAACTTACAGTGCAAACTCCATGAGGATAGTGATCTTTAACATATACTCTAAAGGACTCATCAATAGAAGCTCTCCAGGGCTCAGCTGTAGTATCTATGTCACTTGGCTCTAAGTCTTTGGCTTCCTAAAATAAATGAAAAATCCCAGCATTTACTTTGTTATCCCAAAATAATTTACTTCACAACAATCATGCAGGTAGTATTTTTCGGTCTACCAAGCTAGAGCCTCATTACAAAAGGATTTAAAACAAATGATAATTCTATATGATGGAATTGAGAAGTTTACTTTTGCAGTGGGAGGAGGGGGAGGGGGATGGAGAATCCAGGGAAAACCCTCAAAGCGCAGAAGAGTACCAGCAAACAACGCTGCTTACATATGATGGAAGGTCTGAAGATTGACTGCATCACCAGGTGAGACCCAATGCATCAACATTACATGCCACCCATGCTCGCAAATGTAAAAACAAAGGAATATACGCCTATTTCAAGAACCATTGTCATCGCCAAAGGTGATAGACAATAGGTCATCCTGAGATGGACATGGTTTCATCAACTACAAACAACATTGAATCAGTCTCATGGTCAATGTTCTTGACGAGAATAAGAAGCAGAAACACAAGTCATTCCAGCTATTCTTGGATCTTGGAACAATCTATCTCTTATTGCTTTTTGCCTATCACCTTTGGCAATGACAATTTTTTTTGAAATAGGTGTATGGTTTCTAGTATGTGAATATGAGAGACTAGATAAGTGCCCCATGACAGATTGACCTTACAATTACAAAGGTGAATACAATTTGCTATATCTAAGCTTTTACCTTTCTAAGGTGATCATATGTAAACACCTGTTTGGATCTGGGATCAACAAAGCGGCCATCTGGAAGCTCTCCATGTCTTGTGATGAGAACCTTGAAACAATACAACATTGGAATACAACTTAGTCTCAAAACAATTTTAATGCTCAGGTATAAAAATAATAACTGCTCAGTCACCGGTCATGGCTGGTCAAATTAGTTTTAACTCAGTTATAGCTTGCTTCTGGATCAGCATTACAGGTCAAGGCAAAGTTTTTACCAAACAAGTTCCAATTCTGGCCAGAAGTTGTCTGATGACTGGCTGTTATGTTTAGCCCTGAAAGCTACATGTATGTACATATACCTCTAGCTTATAAATATACTTAACAGCATATTTAATTACCATGATAAATGTCAGTGTTTGAAATTTGTTTATACATTAGGTAGACTAGAGGTCACAAATGTTTTTAGATGGTGGGATCAGTGTCTTATTTTATGGCCAATGATCAGCCCTCCCCCNCCCCCCCACCTTTACACGTACCCATAGTGGGACTGGAACTACAGTAGTGAATGAGTGATGCAAAGCCATCTTTTTCTTTGAACAATTTATTACATATAACATGCACTAAGTTTGATAACTCCTGGTGTTATTACATTATTATGTCACCCTCTTAAATAAAGTTTATTGCATTATATCGTACTATCTACATGTCTTACCTGTTCATCAGAAGAGCCCAGCCTAGCAGGGGTAAACTGCTCCTTATTATAATCAGAAAATGCACTAAAATGACAATAATTACATAGAAACTATCAGTCAAATGAGAACTTTATATTACAGAATTTTTTTTTTTTTTTTTGCTTTTGCTGCCGTCAGTATAAAAGGTACAGGTTGATTATTGATTGATGGAAGTGATAAACCAACTTGCAGCTACCCCATAATGTTGAAAGCTGCTGGGAACCTAGGATAAAGATTTTTTGGGAATAAAGAGCCTGGATATACCCTTATTTTTCAAAAAGGTTATGTACATTTATAGCAGTATAAGATCAATAGTTTTCTATCAAAACACAAATAAGAGTGGTTATGTAAATGAAGGGTATGCATTTAAAAAATAAGATTTTTAAAGATAAAATTTTAAGTTGTGAAAGGATAAAAAATATCTATGTGGATTTAACAATCGCTGTTACCATTATTGATAATGAATTAGGATGATGATCACCACAATATTCTCTTATTTAAATACTTTACAGCAATCACTTTCTGTTCGGGGCTCTTAGAACACTATGACTACATTCTATATTTATAACATACAACCCTCGACTCAAGAGAAATACGAAAACATCTTATCACCACCAGACACGATCTGATTCACGACTACAGCAATGTAAATATTTTGGGTTTTCAACATCATCCTCATCAACATATTAGTCATATATGTCAGTTTTTCAAAGTATACAATCGTATCATCTTAAGTTAAACTAAGATAAATAGAGGTCTCTACTCTACTTGAACCCACCCACCCCAAGTGGGAATGCAATTTAAAGTTTGAATAAAACTAGAGCAACAATTTTGTTCAAGCTGACAGGAAATGTTTATTTGGCAGAAACTATGAAATAACTTGTTTTATTGATAAATATATGGTGACTTATTAAGTGATAGAGTATAAAAGGCTAAGTGAAGTAGGTTAGAGAGTCTTTAGAGGAATATAAGGGTATTATTTCAAGCAAGTTTTTGACGGATGTAATCGTTTGAGAAAGTGTGTATTGGCATGCAACAGGTCGAAGAAAACACATATAGTTTCCTTACCTTGCACCTTTTTCTTTCAATAAACTGTCGTTGTTTAGAAGCAGGCGAGCATCTAGACACAATAAGGAGAAGCATTAGTCCACTGTGTGATAATTTCAAAGAGAATCATTAAATTTGATCCCAATGAAAGGCTGACTAACCGGTGAACACTTCGTTGAATTCTCCTGGTGGGGCGTGTTTTATGAAATTGGAAGCTATTCGTACCTATGTTTAGAGAAGAATTACTCAGCGTTATTCACAACAAGACGCAACCTATTCTTCAGAATGAGTAAAGTAAGACCTAATCTTTACCTTTTCGTCATCAGAGATGGGTGCATCGTAATCAGCCATGATATTTTCTCCACAGATTTGGACTGAAGTCGAAGGACACCAGGAAGCGAATCCAAGATGGCTGCTTTCGGCACTGGTACGGAAAGGCATTCTGGGGCCAAGGTTGGCCGGCCCTCAACTGTGACCATATATGGAAGATTCGCTGGGGAAGGCAAAACGGGACACACGGAACTGAGTGGTACTAAGCTATCGAAACGCTTACCAACGACAAAAGAATTGGTTTTAAAACAAACATCATGTAGGGGCTTTTGTTTGGAATACTGATAATAGGGAAGGAAGAAGATATGCTTGTGAAACTTATAGGAGATTATTTCGAAGAAGAGAAAGGAAACGAAACGAAAGGAAACAAAACGAAACGAAACGAAACGAAACGAAACAAAACGAAACGGAAAGGAAAGGAAAGAAGAGGAGAGGAGAGGGAAAAATGAAATGAAGAATTAAAATACACGAGAACTATCAAAGAAAAGGAAAGGAAAGGACTGAATCAATAGAGCAATAACTTGCTGAAACAGGAAACTGAGTGGGAAAAATGCAAAGGAAAAAAAAAGTTGTCCAATGACAAGGAAATAAAAAACAAGAAAACGAAAGAAAAAGGAGTAAAAAATAAAAGAGAGAGAGCAAATAAAATAACGAAAACCCTGATTTAAGGGGTGAATGGGAAAAATGAGAAAAATAGAAAAGAATAAGGACTCTGTGGTCGATCCAGGAATTTTAGAAGGGGGCTTTTTAGTAATAGGAATGTGAGGAAAAGGAGGACCGATGGCTTACTAAGGATAATACTTGGAATTTTGAGCAAAACAAACCCCCCCTGAGTCTGCCCCTGGGACTGCAGGAAAAGGGCTGGGGAAATTTCAACTTGTTTACTTTTTGATAAAATCTACTAAAAAATCTACTAAACCACTTATATATCATTTCTAGATTTACCAGAAAATGAAAAAAGTACTTGACATGGAGTCATATGATCTGCAATGACAAAATAATGAGTCTATAATAGAGCAAAATATGTTGTTATTTATTATAATGCAAACATTGTTATGAAAATATTTTTTACAGATATTTTGGCTGCTCTAGCTTATAAATCATTCCTCTTTATAATCTGAAGCACAAAAAATCTTTAATTAGAATCTTTATTGAATATATACATTTTTGAATAAATAATCAAAAAAAATTTTTCATAATTTTTGTCTTTTTAAATCTATTTGCAATAATTTTATAATTGTAATAGCACAGGGAGCCCACTCATGATAAATGTGAAAGATAAGAATAAAACCAGATAAAAAATAGCTTCTTTGAATTTATAGTTATAGTGTATGCAAATTTATAAACACTTGCAATGTGCTGTATTTTGAGCACTCACTTTTGCTATTTGAATGTGTCATTGAGAACAGTACAGGAAAAAAAAACTTAATCAAAAACCAATCTATTCATATTTTATCTTTTTAGCTATAATGTACCTCTTGTAATAAGTTCTTCAAGTATAGAGGGCAAAAAATATATAGAATTTTATGTTTTTCTTTTTGCATACTTGAAAATTAGTTGCATTCCATGATTTTCCCATTTCTTATGACCTTCTCCCCACTTTATACAAGAAGTCTATTATTTTCAAAAACAAAAAACAAAAAAATAACTGTGCACTATTCTATGGGTTGTATTATTTATAACATTCAAAATTCAGCCTTGCTGCTCTGCATGGCTCCCAATGCTTAACTCAAACTCTAACATTGAATAAACTGCCCTAATTGTTGAGGAACTTCAATAGCTTTATCTTCAAGCCAAAAACTGCTAGGATTACTTTCCTCCTTTATTTCAGAACATTCCTCTGGTTTGTTGTTGGCGTTGAATACTTCTAGATACTCCATGTACAAGACTCTCGCTTTAGCAAGAGTTCTACTCAAATCATGTTTACGAAGCATCTTGTCAAAGTACATTGCAAGCGCATTGTAGTCCATTTTTTTTTGAAAGCAATAATCCTTGTGGAGAAGCAATATTGCTAAGCAAATAAACAGTGCAAAAGGATTGCCACTACCCAGCTCGTAAGGCCCTGGAATCTGAATCAGGTTTGCTTCTGGTGTATCACTTCCATTAAAGTTATTAATCATGGTGAAGGAATCTTCAAGATCCTCATCCTCTTCTTCAGGTTCTAAGCCAATATCACAAACTATATTGTCATTTTTGAAGTTTTCACATTTATTTCTGACAGTCTTCGCTGCAGAGTTGAACGTCTCCGAAGACATCCCCTGTGAACCAAATGGAGATGTCGTACTCCATATTACCTCCATGATATTTAGACTGTCAGTAAACTGGAACTCCCTTTTGAGGTCAAGTAAAAGCCAGCGATAACAGAAAAACATATCCTCTGCACCAATGTTCACCAAGTATTTATATAACTCTGGATCTGTTCTTTGTACAAGTAAAGAGAGGTGTTCAAATTTTTGACTCATGGCTTTACTGTCAAGAAGAAAGTGAGTTTTCATTCTGTACATCAATGAGCAGAAACAAGTGTATGCAATAGCTTCATCATTTAATACTACTAGTAATGGAGACGCTAGATCACTCATGCCTTGGACATAAGAAACGTCTGGGTTCACTATGGCATAAGTCATTAAGATATTAAACAGCGATTCAATATTTGGGTGATCCTCGGGTACGTCAAAGTATGGGCACGCTTTATCAGTTCGAACAACATCCTTCCGTATCATGTGAGAAAGTGACTCAATGTCTTTTGGGTCCCTGGTTTGCCATTCTGATTTCAGATGCCAAAAGACTTGGGATTTCATTAATAAATATCTTTCTCTTTCATCACTTGTTAAGTCAGGGGGGAACACGTGAAGGAGATGTGGCCATACTTCTTTCCTTAGAGATGGAACCACACCACACTGGAAAACCCAGGACACAAATTCTTCTGTGTGAATAAGACGTCCTTCACAATCGAGGAAATGATACCAATCGCTGTCTTTTAAAGGTCCTTTCTTGGTTGGTGTAGTTAATGCTTTGGTTATTTGATTAAGGGTCTTTTCCATTTGGTGTTTGATAGATATGTGGAAGGGTACTGAAGGAGTAAGCTTAGAAGATAACACATTATTGGTAGGTGGAGCTTCAGAAATGTTAAGTATTGCCCAGTCATTTTCTTCATCTGAGAAAAAGGAAGAAAAAAAACCAGTTGATATTAAATAATTCAGCCTTTGAAATACTGATTGGATGCTTTTAAACCATTAAGCTATTGTGAGACTGAGGGAGAGAAAGTTTCAGATCTAATGATAAAGATTCAATGCTATATAATATTGAATACCCTGCTGGAATAGTCTCCCTTTGATTTCCCTTCAGCAAAATAAAAAAGAGAGAGTCTGCAGTCTATTTTGTGTAGTTCTTTTGTAATGCTATGAATCTGGATAGTGAGATGCATGCTTTCAGGTTTGACACTGGTTTAAACAGGTTTTGATACTGTAATAAGAGATGCATTTGATAACCAAAACTTGTGAAGCAAAATGGACCACAGTTTAATTATCGAAGCATTACAGCTGTATTTTAAAAAAGGTGTAAAACATGTCTTGACTGGAAAAAAAAACTCAAACCGACTCCTCGGCAAAACATTTTTACAGAAAAGTTGCTAAATTTCCAAAAAGCAATGGTTTGCAAACCATTTAAAAAAGGATTAGCTAGGATTGGGCTTGGGTTACAATGCAGTTTCCTCTGTAGAGTCTTCCTTTTTTCTCTTGCTCGGGGTAAATTAAAGGGAGACTCTGCAAGCCACTTAATAAAATTGCTGAATTATTCTGACTAGCAATTCTGAACTTTGCACAAAATAAAAAGGCAAAAATGTATAATCACAAATTGTTCACTTGTCAAAAAAAAAAAAAAAAAAAATTAAATAAATTTAAAAAAAACTGGCTCTGTTTGTATTATTATTCTAAAAACTGAATGAATCTAGATACAACATAACATATCTTACCTGGCCTTAACAAAGGATCAACTCTCAATGACAGATATGGAAGAGAAGCACTGAGAAACGCAGCATCAAGATCAAAGTCAGACGTCAGTGAAACAAACACGTCAGGCCTCTTCCCAGTGTCACTTGACTGAGGAAGCTGATAAGAGATTTCAAACTCCCTAAAAAACAAATAAAAATGTCATCATTGCATTGTAATGTTGTTGTTTTTTTCCTCTTGCAAGTTTATTCAACGTACAAATGCAAATAATGGGCCAGTAGCCAAAAGCTGACAATAAATTTAAAACTTTCTTAACAAAGAAGAAATTTTTAATATTCCAATATCATCATTGATTATTAGTAAATTATAAATTTGTGATTTCATGACGAAGTAAAATTTGAAAACAAAAAAACTAATGACAATAATTCTACTCCACCCAAAACACTGACAGTTACCTAAATTCTCTTTCACAATACTTCTTTCTAACTCTTAAGATTTATAACCTTCAAGTCTATTATATATATTAGCATTTTAGAGTGAAGGCATTTAACCCGTGAAATAAAAATTATTAGTCAATGTGTAATAGTCAAATAGACACAAAAGAAAACAATGGAATTAGGGTCTACTAATGTGTATTAGTCTAACATCTATTTCACGGGTTTAATGACTTCACTCTATTCCAGAAATTCCGTTACCAGGGTAATGAAATGCAGTGAGAAAAATGTGATAAAGATCTAATATTGTCACAGCAGCATAGAAACAGGTGGTCAAATAGAGAAAGGCAAAAGAAAACAAGAAAAAAAAAAACAGATATCACAAGTTTATGTTTATACTAAAAAAATATATGGTTAATGCTGTAATCAAAACATTGAGGAACAACCAAGAAAACCACATTCCCGTTAATATCTTTTAGTCACGTAAAGAAGGAATATAAGAATTATTTAAGAACATTAGGAATTCAAATAAAAGTACTTATAAATGTTCTTTAGTACTATATATCTGTAATTAACACATCATGCAATCATTTGCAATTTAAAAATACATAGAGCTTCTTAACTCATATATATATATATATATATATATATATATAACTAAAACTGAAATGATTCTATATTTTGACAAAAACAAATAAATGGATAAAAACAGAATAAAATAATTTGTAAATTTATCATTTCCTCGAAGAATTTTCTGTCATTTTGAAATATTTTATACTTGGGTGTTTTTACATTTCAAGTAAACTTTGTTTCATAAATCTACTAATTTTTCGTCAAAATCAAGGCGGTAAATTTAGAGACAGCGTTAGAGTACCTTGGAATGACAATTATAGAACTAAAAAGGGTTTAAAGGTGATAAATGGTTTAATAACGAAAGAAAAAGAAATGGTTGGGTTTCATTATGGAATTCTGAATTCTCCTTACATCAGAAGAGTTTTTTTTAAAGGTATCTCTACTCACCCAGAAAGTTGAAAAGCCCTCTTCAACAACTGACTTAAATTCTCAAACGATGTAATATTCGGATCAACTGCAAAACATCTTAACTCTCTTCCTTTGACATTCTCAAGCTGAGATAAAAGAAAGAATTTTAAAAACCCAGATAAAATTATTTTAGCAAATGAACAGTGAATTTGCGGTTTTTTCCAAAGATTCTACTCAATTATCACCCCAAAAACTCACCAAAGCTTTGACTCTGATAGCATCTCTGTCTTGAAAACAAGATGTAGTAGACATTCAAAGGCTTTTAAATGGCGTTGTACCCATAAAATATAGCTTTAGAAGGAGTTTTTCCACCTTCTGTTGAGCGAATATGTAAACATAAATTTCGATGTGGCACAACCATGACGTCATCTGTCAGCGGTGAGGGTCACGGGCGCAAGCAATTTCGTTATGCTAATTTTCCATTTCTCTATTATTTTTATCTATCCGTCCTCATTCCATTTAGTCTTTTCAAGCAAAAAAAATGAAGGTCAATCTCCTTCCTTACTGAAATACCAGCTGTGTTCTTGAAACAACAACTCGAAGAATCCGGTGACATCAGAATTTGAACATTTAATTCGTCAATAACGATAATCACTGTAAACGCCCAGTCGGTAAAAACGATATGCAAGGATTCAATTAATATGAAAACATGCAGTAGTACGTTCTCTTAACTTGTTAGTTCAATGTAGGGAGTAAAGCAAAAGTACGTATATGTTTTTTATCGAGATTTTTCTCAAAAACTGAATTTTCTTATAAAATTTTGTATATCCTTTTATGGTCACAGTTCAATGAAGCGATCAACGTGGTTTACCATAGACGTGACGTGGGTAGTGTGTTTTTGTTTTTACTTTGGTAGCGCTAAAAAATACGACCACAATAAAGAGTATACATAAGTTTATAGTGTCGTGTTTATAAGGGGTCATGGGCGGGACGGTTAGCCTTCGGATTAAACATTAAGTAGTAATATATCATGCAACAAAATGGTGTGGTCACTGCGCTTCAACCCTGGCCCTCCGCTTTAGCCCCCTAGACACCGCTGTTAGATTCGTCACGCAAAGCTCTGTGCACCCACTTTTACTAATTTTAGGCCATTTTTGAGTTTACTAATTTTTAGACCAATTATCAGTTAACTTTCAAACCCTATCCACAACCTCCTAAAATGGATGCCCGAGGGACGAAGACGATAACGAGCTAGGGGAAAGAGACTGGCAAGAATTGTAAGACGAGAATAGTATACATGAGTATGTATAGATACATCCCAAGCAAGAATCTTAATCTCAATAGAATTATACGTGGTCTAAAATGGAAAAATACTATTCCTAGGAGGATAAGGTCCCTTCTGGAGTAGGGGTGGTGGGGAGGAAAAAAAGCGTTGCGTGACGACGATACTACGACTGAAGCTGACGACGTTCGTGAAAAATACTTTAATTACGACGCGAAAAGAACTCACATTATTGATAACTTTAAAGTACAAAACTTTAACGGTATCAAAAATAATTATTCTTTCTTGATTGTTCTTCATATATTATTTTAGAAACTAGCAGTTGCAACAATCTGGATGACGTTGGTAGTAAAACGTAGTCTACGTAACAAAAATATATTTAATCGGTTCAATTCATTGGTTTGATGAAAAACTCTTCAAGGTCCTCCTCATCACTAGCATCATTGGGCGGCAGTGACGTGTTCATCACGTGAACACAAACGAGTGGGTCATCCACAGGTAGCCCAAGTTCTGAAGTAGTAAAATCCACCTTTAACTGAAGATTGGATGAGTCGACGTTTTTCATGACTTGGTTTTCACGATGAATATTGCTTGATGTAAGTGTATTGTTAAAGTTAGTCAAACCGTGGCAAGACGAATCCGGTACTTTACAAGTTTGATCACCTTTTGAGTTGGATTTTTGTCCCTCAGTAATTACTATACGTCCATTTCCCTCATCATTTTTCGTTGTTACGTTTCCTCCAACTTTGTGATATACTTGATTCTCCTGCGATTGTAACAACGATGCTTTTGACGCAAAAATATCAGTTTGCTGACTCATCGTTTTTTCAATGCCAGGCAATCCGCGCGAAAAACCACCAATATCCGTTGGACTTCCTGTGGTGGCCTTCAAAACATTTTCACTGTAGACTCCATTACTGGTACCATTAATAGCATCTTCAAATAAACAAGCTGATGAAGTGCGGTAACCACGGGGGTCCGGTTCGTCGTCATAACAACTGCTTTCCTTATCACGAGTCTTCACGCAAGACTGATGTTGCTTAGCAACCAAACTGAGTTCAAAAGTATTTTCTAGTTTTTCGGACGCACTTGAATTTAACTCATTTAAACTGTGCTCAACTAAATTTTCATAGTTTTGATTCTTATTTGCGGCATGTTTACCTTGCTCGCTGATTTGGCTGTCCTTTTTCAGCAAATTTTTATCAGATAAGTGCATAGTAGTAATTTGCTGCGTATTGTTTGAAGCCGTGACACTACTACTGACACTAGCACTTGCATCAACCTTTAAAGTAGCGCAGACCTCGTCTGTAATTGTTTCTTCGTCGTTTCCATGATTACCAGATTCGCTATTTGATGCTATCTGACTTATTACGTTCAATGCGTAATGAAACTCTTCCTGCAAATAAAGACAATTAATGGCGATGAAATGGGATATAAGGAAAAATTGAATTAAGTTGCCTAGATTCGCCATGGTGCATTCTGCCACCTTGCACTGGGAGCCCCTGGAAATAATTTAACCAAGGATATTTTTTCCGATTTTATTATTGTTTTACACTCAGTTTTATCTCGAGTGGGCTCCCTGTGTCCGCAGCTACTAAGACAAGTGCGCCTTGTTAAAAATACTGAATACAAGGCCCTGGGGGAGGGGGAAGGTCGACTGGTTAGAAGAGGAAGAGGAAATGAGAGGCTCTCTTCTTCCCCTATCCCCGTTCCCCTCTCCGCAAGAGAGCCTGATACTCATGTTATGTTAAAAACCAAGAAAAGTACGAAGTTTGTGATTACCTGGTAGAGTTCGCTGTCCAGATCTGGCAGGTCACACCCAGTGTAGACATCATTCATGACGCAGTATTGGACAAGGCTGCACCAATAGGGATCCTGTAGGGACAAAGGCCGTTGAGTTAAGAAAAAATGAATTGCCATATAGATGTGCCCAGAGTCATTAAATGAAAAGGGTGCATTCTAGCCTTTACGCAATACCAACGAACTATCACTATCTTATTCTCAAGGAAACATTGCGCCCAAGGTAAAGACGTCTATTATCTTACGGAAAGTTAAAGTAAAAAATCAGCCCATGCAGCTTGTCAATTGTAGACTGCGAGCAGACCAACTTTTTCCTCCAGAATGAGTAAAGACTAATTTTCAGGAGTCCTTTGGACGCGCGCACGTAACTCACCCCACTCCCGCGCTTACCAAATAGGAAGAAAAAAGTAACGGCTCGACTTCCGTTAAGAGGGAAAAGAGAGACTGTTAACAGTCTATATAGCTTGAGGTCCGAAGAGAGACTGTTAACAGTCTATACAACTTGACGTCCGAAAAGAGACTGTTAACAGTCTATACAACTTGACGTCCGAAGAGAAACTGTTAAAAAGCCTATACAACTTGACGTCCGAAAAGAGACTGTTAACAGTCTATATAACTTGAGGTCCGAATACTTCGGTCTTTCAATTCAATCTTACCTGACAAAGAACATGGGGGTTGCCAATCACGATGAGCAGGGCCTGAGCTCTAGTAATGGCCACGTTAAATCGCTTTGGGTTGCTAAGAAACCCAATACTGTGATCGACGTCTGACCCGATATAGGACTGGTCAGAGCGTACCTGGAGCAGAAGATGAAAATGAGATTTCAAAAAGTTATTAAAACGAAGTATAATATAAGAAAGAGACAAAAAAGTTTGTCGTACAGTTGAAAGAATCACATCCCTTATTTTTAGAAATAACATTCCTCTCCTTCCTTCCTTCCTTCCTTCCTTCGTTAGTTAGTTAGTTCATTCGTTCGTTCGTTCGTTCGTTCGTTCGTTCGTTCGTTCGTTCGTTCGCTCGTTCGTTCGTTCGTTCGTTCCTTCCTTCCTCCCTTTTTCTTCTTTCTTTCCATTCCTTCCTTCCCCTTTTCTTTTCAAATCAATGTAAGACTATGTAATTATGGGTTTTTAACATGATTTGTTTCATGCTGAGTCTGATCAGTGAGATCATTCACTCGTTCGTTCACTCCTTCTTTTTTCCTTCTTTCTTTCCTCCTTTCTTTTTCCTCCCTATCTCCCCTCCCCCTCTTTTTGGAAGTATTGCATGTGCAATGACTAATAAATGATGAAAAATACTAGTTAATATGATTACGCATGCATTGAAGAAGCGCGCGCATTTACCGTAGATATGATTATGACTGGTCTTTCTTGTCCCTGAAATTCTTCGACTGAGCCAACCTTAACATCGTCAATCCCCACGCGCCTGAGTAGAAGGCGAATCTTCTCCACCTAAATAGAAAAGAGGCGAAAATTTTCAGCTGGTAAAAACCTTGAAGCTTGAACATGATGTTAGGATCACCCGTTGACGGGTGTTTGATGGCCTGTTCACTCGTTCTTTTATTCCGTCCATCCACCACTACATCCGTGCATCCATTCGTTCATTTGTCCGTCCGTCCGTCTGTCCGTCCACCCGTTGGCTGCATTCGATTCAAGCGTTTATTTCTTTGGTCATCCACTCGCCTTATGCGCTTTTGGCCCCTCTTATTGTCATGAATGTTATAAACATAGTGGTTAAGGAAGTTTCCTCAATTCCCTACCTGTTTTTTGTATGGGCTTATGATACCAATATCGGTAGGTTTGATCGAACAAGCTTCGCTTTTCTTGAGTCCCTGGATATAACGTATGATCTGGACTGCTTCAGCAGGGTTGAACCAAGATGGACTGTTCCCTTCGCGAAGATCCTCTCCCTGATATCAAAGACAACACAGAAATAATCAGCATTCTTTATTGCATGGGTTCTCGCAGACATGATATTCAATGTTATTAAGGCGTACTCTGCCTGGTCGATTGGATTATTCGTTCAGACTTGAATTGCGCAATAGGTAACTTCTTGAGTTAAGAGCGCAAATATTATGACAATAACAACAACAACAACATCATCATCATCATCAACAACAACAACAACAACACAGGGGCGGATCCAGGAATTTGTTCAGGGAGGGGTGCAGCGCACATAGTTAACCAAGGGAGGGGTGCACCCTTTAGAATCAAAAGGTGAAAACATTATTTTGTATTGGTTAAAACTTTGAAGTAGGGGCACAAAGTCGAACCAGGGAGGGGTGTGCATCCCCTGCACCCCTCCCCTGGATCCGCCACAGCAAAAACAACAGTCACCAACTGACAGCAGCAACAACAGCAGTAATAAAAACAACAAAAACAGGACAGATGCAGGGTGAGTGTGAAATTACGCTACAAAACCGAAGGCAAACATCGCACTGACTACAATTCGCAAAATAGTTACTTAAATGGGAATGCAGTTGTCTATCCGGTTTATGTTTGGTAGGTTGGCTGGTCCCACAGTTGGGCTTTTTAAAAATGAATGTACGATATTCCATCCTATGGACCGTTCCTTTTTTACAAGCGGTGGGATTTTGGGGAATTTTCTATTATTTATGGGCCCTCCTTCCCTAAATCCCACCAGCCTATCCCCCATGCCAGTGAAAAATGAACGGTCCCGTAGAAGGAACTTTTTACCTTGACTCCATGGAACACAAGTGGCGCTCCTTTCTTGGGCAGCATCTCAAACTCACCAAACCTTTCTCTCATCTTCTCGTCTGCATGAACCCGAAGCTCATTATGATAGAACAACGCAGAGGGGAGGTGTAGAAGAACTGGGTGTGACCTGTAGTTATTGACCAGCTTTGTAACAAGTAGTGGATCATAACAACCATGGTCAATGAACCTCGCCTCGTCACGGGTATAGAGGGGTCTGGACATGAGTCGCTCTAGCAAAGATATATTGAGCCCATATTCTAAGGCTAATGTAGAGCGTAGGACTGGACCGAGTTGATGGGGATCTCCAGCAAGAATAATCTATCGAGAAAAACAATGAGTGTCACTTTGTGTAGTTATGCACCATTTTCACGCTGATTGATTCCCATGTAATCAATGATTCAAAACTGAAAACCGAAATGGAATCCTGAAACAACTTCTGGGCTGATCAAGTCAGGGGTGGCTATTTATCTGATCTCAAAGGCTATATATTTGTTATTAGTCTAATCCATAGTTACCTGACCCTCTCCCCCTGCGGCTAGTCCCATTGGTATAAGACAGTCTGGTTCGGTGGCTTGTCCTGCCTCATCTACGAAAACGTGTGTGAAATGTCCAGCGCGCAGCCCAAGAGAAAACAGCTGACCTGAAGTACTGCAGGTGCAGATTATGATTCGGTAATGCGCAGCTAGTGTTAGGCGGTCAGTGTCTAAACAATAAGGCACTATCGTTTCTGGTATGTCTTGAGCTCTTTGGACAGCGTTCAGGCGAACCATATCACCTTCTTGTATAAAACCACTGCTTTGTAAACGAACAGCCTGGTGGATATAACAAGACAAATCTTGAAATTTGATGCTAATAGAGGCTTTGCACCACCACGTGATGGCAGTCATGACAGGAGGCACGACAATAGAGTCTTTTCCTACTGGCAAACTGAATTCTTTCTAATGTATATCAGATTTGACCAGATTCTGCCTGTTCCTGCCTCCTGTCGTGGCTGTCCCCACGTGATGGTGCAAAGCCTCTATAGACTTTGTCTTGGCGCTGCTACGTTTGCCCATTTCAAGCCTCGTGTCATTCCCTTGAGAATACTATTCTTTGCTTGAGTGGTATCCATATTCATGTGTCTTCTCATGTGCAACCATTAAACGAAGAAATAATGCTCTAGAGATTGACACGTGGTTTGAAATGGGAAAACATTGCACCAAGACAAAATAGGCCTATTCGCAGGAAGATTTGAAGCCCAGACTCGGAGTAGCCATGATAAAGCAATGTTTAGGAGGTAGTTCATCGACTCTTTACATGGGAAAGCTCCTATTTGAACCAGTGAACCATCGCGCATAACAGAGTAAAATAAAAGGAACAAAAGTAGTTTAGTTTACGAATTTCCGCATAATGAGCATTTGAATATACTCCCATGCATTAAATAGAAACATTCCTTACCAGAAGATCTGCAGCGCTGTTGGATGGTGCGCATGCTATAATCCTACTGGACGGGATCCTGTGAAACGCCTGTAAGAATATTATCAAGCTAGTATTACCATTATTACGCAACTGTAGGATAGGTTACTCTAGGGTAACACTTCACATTCCTGATGGATATCTCCACCAACGTCGTCTTTACCAGAACAAGCACCACCATTTTAGCCGTGATCGTTAACAAGACAGTGTGCAAGGGATTCTGGTAGTGGTAGTAAATGACGCCATAATTAAAGTGTCCTATTGTCCTTATCATCCTGTCCACCCCAACCTCCATCGTCACTTATCACCGTCTTTATAACACTGACCCTCAGTACTCCTGCCTTCATCACGTACCCGTAAGATAGCACCCACCAGAGTAACAGTCTTCTAACTCCTTCACCATCAACATCAACATACCCACCTACACAACAATCATCTCCATCGCTATCATTAAAACACTGACCCTCATTACTGTTGTCTTTATCACGTACCTGTAAGATAGCAGCCACCAAGGTAACAGTCTTCCTACTCCTTCGCCACCAACATTAACATACCCACCTCCACCACCACCATTATCATCACTATTATATCACCATTCTTATAACACTCGCCCTCATTACTGCTGTCTATATCACGTACCTGTAAGATAGCTTCCACCAAGGTAACAGTCTTCCCCGTCCCTGGTGGTCCAAACAGTATGTAGGGAGTGGGGCGACTCTGACCACTAAGGATACGAGATACTGCAGCACGCTGTCGTTCATTCAGATTCGAATTATATAGAAAGTCTTCCTCTTTATTCGATGTTTCGGCTGAAGAGCAAAGAACAAAACGCCGTTAGTTTGCCTGACTATTACAGGATAAGGACCCATAAACATCACCTTCAAATTTTATCGAACCCTGCAACAACCTCTGGCGTGGCTAACTCACAGATTGAACCCTGAAACAACCTCTGAGCTGATCTAAGTCAGAGCACGGCTAACTCACAGATTGAACCCTGAAACAACCTCTGGG